GAAGAAGAAGAAGAAGAAGAAGAAGAAGAAGAAGAAGAAGAAGAAGATTCAAATACAGTATTCATCTTAGTGATGGATTCATGTTAATCTCTTGATAAACACCACACAATCTGAGAATGATGCTGCGCACTTAGAATCCCAGCCAGCATTCCAGAGCCAGGGACAAGTGGACAAGTCTCTGAATTCCAAATCTCCATGGTTTTTGTAGTAAGCTACAGGTTAGCCTTGGCTGCATAGTGAGACCTTGTCTTAAAAAAAATCAGTAAGGAGGATTAGAGCTGCAGACTGTGGAAAACATTGTGGCCATATAGGTCTTCTCTGCTGTATTTATCCCATCTCCACATAGCAGGAAATATTTTTAGCTTCAAATAGAAATTCTTTTTATTTATCTATTTATTTTGGTTTTTGGAGGCAGAGTTTCTCTGTGTAACTCTCAACATGAGGTTTGTGGTCATGTGGGCTAAAGGGGCTCCTAGTGTGTAATCTGCACACATACCCTGAGTCAAGGGTCACTATGGGCGATCTAGGTAGGAGAAGATTCAGCTCTCTCTTTACAGATTGTATCTTAAGCCCAAATATGCGATCTTCCAGAGGGCCATGTCATTCTGTGGGCCCTGTGAGCTGGCTGAGATCTCTGAGGATGAAGGACTCTCAACTGTCTCCTCCACTGTTTATCCACAGAGCCAGTGACTAAGCCCTTCATCCAAGTCAACAACACCACAGTCAAAGAACTGGACTCTGTGTCCCTGACCTGCTCCTCAAACGACACTGGGGTCTCTATCTATTGGCTCTTCAATGGCAAGAGTCTGGGGCTCACGGATACAATGAAGCTGTCCCTGAACAACAGCATCCTCAGCATAGACCCTGTCAGGAGGGAGGATGCTGGGGAGTATCAGTGTGAGGTCTCCAATCCAGGCAGTTCTGAGAGGAGTGACTCCATCCAGCTGGCCATAATAGGTGAGTGACCTCCCCTCCCTTCTTACCCCATAGTGTTGTGGGTTGGGCAAATTCTTTATCGGAAGTGTCCAAAATGGGTAAGAGTCACCAGGATAAAAACAAGCTCAAGATTCAAATACAGCTGGGCGGTAGTGGCACATGCCTTTACTCCCAGCACTCAGGAGGTAGAGGCAGGCAGCTATCTCCGAGTTAGAGGCCAACATGGTCTACAAGACCTAGTTCCAGGACAGGTTCCAAAGCCAAAACAATAGAGAAACCCTGTCTCATAAAATCAAAAAAGGAAAGAAAGATTCAAATATAGTAGTCATCTTAGTGATGGAAGCATGTTAATATCTTGATAAACACCACACAATCTGAGCATAGTGCTGCACACCTTGAATCACAGTCAGTGCACCAGAGGTAGAGACAGGTGAATGTCAATGAGTTCCCAACCTCCGTGGTCTTTGTAGTGAACTCTAGGTTAGCCAGGGCTGCATAGGGAGACCGTTTCTCAAAAAAAATCCAAAAATCCATAAGGAGGATTAGAGCAGCAAGCTGTGGTGAACACTATGGCCATTCATGTCTTCCTTGTGGTATTTAAAACTCCATGAAGCAGGAAATAAGGTTACTTTCAAACAGAAATTATTTATTTATTTATTTATTTTGGTGTTTTGAGACATGGCTTAATTGTGTAACTTTGGTGCCTGCCTGGAACTCATTCGATAGACCAGACTGGTATCAACCTATGAGTTTAATACCACTGTCCGGCTCAAATAGAAATTCCATTTGGGGATTTCTCCCAGCCCTGCAAATAGGCTTCCTCACCTTTAAGATTAGCTAGGCCATCTGAACCTCATGACACATTATTTAATGAAAAAGAAAGAGAATTCTACTTCATAATGGAGGGACCTGACTGTTCACACTCACAGAAAGTGTGAGCAAGAATTTGCACAAAAATCAATGGGGAAAACATCTCCCTCCATGAGATTTGTGGTTATGTGGGCTGAAGGGGCTCCTATGTGGAACCTGCACATATACCCTGAGTCAAGGGTCACTGTAGGTGTTCTGGGTAGGAGGAAGATTCAGCTCTCTCTTTACAGATTGTATCTTAAACCCAAATATGCAGTCTTCCAGAGGGCCATGTCATTCTGTGGGCCCTGTGAGCTGGCTGAGATCTCTGAGGATGAAGGACTCTCAACTGTCTCCTCCACTGTTTATCCACAGAGCCAGTGACTAAGCCCTTCATCCAAGTCAGCAACTCCACAGTCAAAGAACTGGACTCTGTGTCCCTGACCTGCTCCTCAAACGACACTGGGATCTCCATCCATTGGCTCTTCAATGGCCAGAGTCTGGGGCTCACAGACAGAATGAAGCTGTCCCTGGACAACAGCACCCTCAGCATAGACCCTGTCAGGAGGGAGGATTCCGGGGAGTATCAGTGTGAGGTCTCGAATCCAGTCAGTTCTGAGAGGAGTAACTCCATCCAGCTGGACATAATAGGTGAGTGACTTCCCTTCTCTTCTTACCCCATAGTGTTGGGGTTGGGGCATTTTCTTTATCAGCAGTGTGCAAAATGGGTAAAAGTCACCAGGAGAAAAACATGGCTCAAAATACAAATACAGTCAACTTGGTGGTGGATGCATGTTAATCTCATGATAAAACGCTAAGCAAACTGAGCACGGTGCTGCATGCCTTTAAACAAAGCACACCAGTGGCAGAGAAAGTGTATCTTTATGAGTTCCCAATCACCCTTGCCTTTGTTTATCAGCAATGGCAATGATATCCTGAGAACTGACATTCACAAATGTCAGGGTGACTCTCCAAGTAAAACCCAGACTGGGGCCATTAAGCAACATCATTACATACAACCCTAGGGAATCCACAAGTAAACCCCAGGCTCTGGGACACTGATTTGCTAACAGGTATTTGAACCTGTTCCAGGCAGTGGGGTTTAAACCAAAATCAAACCAGTCCTCCTCACAGAGTCCTGGTGCTACTGGGCAGGAAGACAGAGCAGCAAGGACATCTAGAAGCTGGGGTTGGGGTTGACTAGCACTTCAGAAGAAACAGAGCTGGGAAGGACAGAAAATGAAGGCATGGAGTCTTTAGAGGTCAGAGAAGGCATGCCTACACTCACCAATGATTCTGAGTGTGAGCAGATTTCTGAGGGAGTAAGGGGTGAGCTTTGCAGACACCCGAGAACTCATTTTCATTCAGTGGAAAGATTCAGGGGTACTGAGGAATGGGGGTGATGTTGCTGACCTCCCCCCAATAGGACATACACACACCAAGGCTGAGAGTTGAACACACTCAGGTTTCAAATTTCTACCAAATGCAAAGGTCCTAATATTGATGGATTTTTCTCTCTTCCCCTTAGCCTCTCCTACCACTGCCCAAGTCACTGTAGATGCAGTTCTATCCCACATTGCTGAAGTGAAGAACATTCTTCTACGTGTCCATAATTTGCCAGATACAGCCCAAGTCTTTTTCTGGTACAAAGGAAAAACTTTGGTTAAGAGAAATAAAATTGCACGATTTCTAGAATCCAAAAGAACAAATAAAACAAGGCCTGCTTGCAGCATCAGAGAGAAAATACACCACAGTGGATCCTTGCTCTTCCGGATAGTCACTCAGAAAGATGCAGAAGCCTACATGCTACGTATGGAAATGAGAAACCTTGACATCAGAAAGGCATCCGTGCACATCCATGTGCACCCTAAGTAATTCTCTGTAACCTGTGGTGGAGGAAGCCGTGCTGGCACCCCTGGGAATGACACATACATGTTTTGCAAATGGAGCTCTTTAGAGGCAAGGTCCTTTGGAGAATCCCACCCTTTTGTCATGGACCTACGGAAAGGATACTGCAGACCTCTGTGCTGATCCTAGGGATGCATGTTCTTCAGGCCTCTCTAACTTTCGTTATGCTTATTCCTAGGGTGACTCTTAGTTCTGCTTTGTTAGTCATGATTGTGCCTGAGTTTACTGGGAACTAAAGATTCTGAAGAAAATTAAATTTCTCTGATCTGTTACAAAACCAGTTTCTCCTCTTGCCCCTGGCTGCCTTTGTAGTCATCCTGAGTGAGCAGGAGAAGCTCACTAAAGTTAATGATTATTATGATTATTGCTTATTCAGTTCCAAAAGAGACAACTATACTCCAAAGAACTTAAGAACTTAGAAAATGGTTTCTTGGGCTGGAGAGATGACTTAGCGGTAAAGAGCATTGCCTGCTCTTCCAAAGATCCTAAGTTCAATTCCCAGCAACCACATGGTGGCTCACAACCATCTGTAATGAGGTCTGGTGCCCTCTTCTGGCCTGCAGGCATACACATAGACAGAATATTATATGCATAATAAATAATAAATAATGGTTTCTTAAAGGATGACATTAAAAAATTATAGGAAAATACAAGGAAAAGATATAGGACATGAGAGGGCAGACATCTCTCTGGTGCCAGGATATGAATACACTGATATTTTCCCAATATCAAGTTATCAGTAAAGGAATCTAAAACTCCTGGTTTCCTAAAAGAAATGTACTTGAAAAAATTGCCAGGAAGAATAAAAATTTAGTCCCAGCAGTTTAAGCATTAGGTATTAATCATTACTATTTTCAGAACTTATAAAGATTTGAATTATAACTATAGTCCACATAAAGGTGATCCACAGACTACTTAGAAACTGGCACATACCTGAAAATGATATCCTAGGTGTGACAATACACTCAGCTGGCAACAATGATATGAAAGTATCACATTGTGAAGAGCTAATCGCAGGGCTTAAGTCTCTTAGTTTGTAATCGGATGTTTACCGCCAGCTAGGGCACAGTATAAATAAGATGTGCCTGGCCAGATATAAACATTTGGCGTGCACTATAATGATATGGGGTAAAGGTCAATGATGTCAAGGGAGTGGGAAGAAGAGAAACTAAAATGAATAAATGTTAATGATTCTTGGAAAATGATTAATGAGAAATGATTTGAAACTGCTCATGCTTGACTGCATTAGAACTTCTGTGAATAAAGACAGTCTGAACTAGTTGGGCCATCAGTTTGAAACACAACAGGTGATCAGAATCTTCATTCTTTGCCAACTTCACACATCCATCCTGTGGCACAGAACCCCGCGGGCCTGGACTCCAGCATTCTGTGTCATGGGTGGACAGAATCCTACTTCACACATAGGACTGTCACTCCTGGATGACTCTGTGTTATGGTCCCCACACTGTGGTTCAAGCGTTTAGTGAAGGACATAGAATGGAAGGAACAATAAATCAGGCTGCCTCACTTGAATCTACCCCTCAAGAAGAGGGGGTAAGTTAACTCAGCCCAGGTATGTCAGACTCTGCCCAGGATCTGAGATGCTTGTAGGAAGACAAGGCCTACAAGGTCAAGAGATTTTGCCAACCTGGAGTTGACCTGAGAGTCTAGCAGCAGGCACTGTCAGAGGTCCTGCTCATGCCTAGCCAATGAGGGTTGACTATGCGATGTCAATGGATCAGAACACACCCTGGGTGCTGGGAGGAGGGTATATAAGGCTCTCCCAATTGGTGAATAAATGAGTCTGCTGTGTGCCCTTTACCGGACTCCTGACTCCTATGCCATGATACCATGTATTCCCACCCTTTGTCCTGTGGAAGCCGCTAGGACACAGCAACAACTGGCAGCCAGTGGGTTCTAGTCATCTCCATCAGCTCACTCGCAGAGCTGGACAGTGCCCCCAAAATGGTGTGTTTCCATGAGAAGACCCCAAGATGGTGTGTTTCCGTGAGAAGACTCCTTGATGTTGTATGGTTTTGGTCTCAGCAGCAGGTAAATGTTGTGACCCCCTTTCTTTCCTTCTTTTGTGTTGTCTGCCATGTTTTTCTGCCCATCCATTTAGGAAGGCACATTTTTCTGTTTTAATTCACCCAGAGCCTCCACATAGGGGTTGACACCCCCCTCCACCGCAGGAGGTGAGCTCGGCTCCAGAATGCCATCCCTCATCTGGAGATACAATGTGGGCATACAGCCATGGTTTAAAAAAACCTCAGAAGTCACCCACTAAAAGGCATAAAACACAAGATCCAACACAGCTTTCCACCGCCGCTGACTGCCATCTACCCTCTGACTGTTGCCCGCCTTCGGTTTGTCTACAAAATGGGTGACCTCTCCTTTACCTCCACCCCTTCCACGTCTGATCTCTCTATGGCAACCAATGAGAAAAAGGCAGTTCAAGCCCCGCAAAACATGCTAAGGAGAGCACAGCCATAGTTAAGACTGAGTATGTAGCTCCCCCGTCAGCAGTTCCCCAACAGCTGTACTCCCGCAGCAGGAAGCCACACCTCCACTGTGGTACCCTTGGAGGGAAGTGCTCAGTATCCACCTGCCCCTGAAGGCGGAAATTCCCTAGCCCTTCGGTTTGACCCCCAACCACCACAGCCTCACTGTCTCGGGCTGCCCTTCGTGGTCAACCGGGGACAAACGCCACAAACGAACCTCTCGATTAATGTTCCAGTGATCCTTAACATGCTCACTGGATGAGGTCACTTTGTCCGCTCCTTCCGTCAGTCACAGACTGGCCATCAAGCCTACTGCCAAAAGGTTGGTGCCTTGGCTTTCAAGGCTCTTAAGACACGCACCCCACGGGGTGCTTCAGCTTATTTCCGCAGTATCATCCCACAGTCGGGGAACATCTTACTGATTTTCTCATATGTGTCAATGAGGCAGTGGAGTGGAGAGTAGACCTGGGCCCCACTAGGGAAATGTCAGTCAAACAATTGGTTTGGAAAAGTCTTAATGCCCCCAATATGCAATTCAGTCACAGCAGTCTGCAATGAGGACATTCACAAGTAGACACTGGCCACAAGAGAAACAATTCCATCGCTACTCTCATGGCTTCCCTGGATGCCCTCCTTGTGGTCATACCGTACTCCGAGAACACAGCCGCAGACATCCCACTAGATAGATCTTGCTGAGGATGCAGCAAACAAGGCCTTCTGTGGTGTGACTTCCCCTGGACAAAACCTAGAAACTGAAGCCCCAGATGCAGTAAGGGGTTTCATTGGGCAAAGGATTGCAGATCACAGCCTGCTGAAGCACCTGCCCCTTTAAACTCCAGGCAGGGTGCTCCTCAGCCCTGGCAGTTACAGGAGGCTCTGGTAATACAAAAATCTACTGAACACTGCCCATTTCTCCATGCTTCCCAATGCTGACCGTCAATCTTGATGGGCAAGCTGGCAGAGGCTTGGTGGACATGAGTGCAGACGTCACCATATTAACAGAAAGGGAGGCACTTTTGATGTAGGTGTGTCATCTATCTATGTATTACTTTCATTGGTTAATAAAGAAACTGCCTTGGCTTTTGATAGGACAGCAGCTTAGAAAGGTGGAGTAGACAGAACAGGATGCTGGGAAAAAGAAGCAGAGTCAGGCAGATGCCATGGAGCCAGCCACCAGGTCAGACATGCTGAATTTTTCCCGGTAAGCCACAACCTCGTGGTGACATACAGATTATTAGAAATGGATTAGTCAAGATGTGAGTTAGCCAATAAGAGGCAAGAACTAATGGTTCAGGCAGTGTTTAAATGCATACAGTTTCCGTCTAATTATTTTGGGTAAATCTAGCTGGTAGCCAGGTGGTGGGAAACGGCCCCCTCGCTTCTCTTACTACACACTTTATTTTCCCCACTGGAAACTTAGACCTGGCCCTCCCATCAGTGGAGTGGGAGGCCAACAAGATTCAAAACTTACCACCTACCTGGTCCAATGGAAAGACCTTGACAGTAACAAGGGAGCCATTTACCCTACAATTTCTATGGTACCGAGAAATCTCTGGGGCAGAGACATCCTGGAGGATATGGGTGTCCTATCTACCGACAATAGAGTTTTCTTTCATGACCTTCATATCATTGGCATTTATTTGGGGTTCCAATGGGCATTTGCTTTAAATTCTGAAAACTCCGATTCTATAATTACACATTTATTAGTAACAATGGCTCTAATGGGCATACCGTCACAAATTAAGATTGGTAATGCCCCAGCTTACGTTTCCAATAAAAATGAAACTGTTTTTTACATGTTACAACATAATACATATTGTAGAGATACCATACTATCCTACAGGACAAGAAACTGTTGAGAGATCTAACTGCACCCTAAAAGAGATGCTTGCTAAACAGAAGGAGGATATGAGGACCCCCAGAGACAGACTGTATAATGCCTTACTATCCTTATATTTTCTAAATGCTAATGAAACAGAAAATGGCAGCAGAAACCGCATCTCCAGCCTCCCCACCATGGAGACTTTATTAGGTGTCCTTAAGTCTTGTAGTTCATTTTGTAGGCTCAGGTTTCTCTTAAGGTTCCCTGATTCATATCAATCAACATCAAACCTCTGACAAGAATGTCTCACATGTGGCCCAGCCCTACCTGAATGGCAGCCAGATCCTGATCTGTGTGCGATCTCTGTTGGGCTGTCAGGTTCTCAGGGAAGCTCAATGGGAAGACTAACCATGACCTATCTGTAGGAGAGCCCTAAGCAGCAAAGGCTTGGAGGTGCTGGTCCTCACTGAGCAGTGGAGGTCAGGGCAGCTGAAGGGACTCACACATTGTGTCCCAAGACATGCAGTGTGTCAGTGAGGACCAGGAGATAACATGAGGTCTGTGATTCCAAGTCTCAAGTCTGTCCATCACCACACACTGCAGCTCAATTCCCTCCTGGGAAAGCCCTTGCTTCTCCCATAGCACCGGAGGCCCCATTGTCTCTGAGAGCTCAGCTACTCCATCTGCCTGTAATTTGCTTCCTGCCTGATTCTTTGAGGTTCTAGGTTTGTGGGAAGATCGGAGACAATCTCTGTTGAAAGAGGCCCTTGCAAGAATCAGAGGCACCACACAGGGCAACCTTCTCTCTGTTGTTTGAACACATAGCACCACTACCCAAGCCCAGCATCACAAGCAACAATTCCAATCCCATGGAGGGTGAGGACTCAGTAGCATTAATGTGTGAGCATAAGACTCAGCTCATGGCGCTATGAATACATTACTGGTACAACCACTCTA